GATGAGACTGTACAACATGATGTAGATCACGAGAATATTTCTACCATGACTATAAATAATGATGAGCCTTTAGTTACTCAGAATTTAGAAAAGACCAGTCAAAAAAGGAAACGTTCATGTAAGCCTACCCTGATGCCTAAACCTAATAGGCCTACCCTTATGCCCAAACCTAATAGGCCTACCCTGATGCCTAAACCTAATAGGCCTACCCTGATGCCTAAACCTAATAGACCTACCCTAATGCCCAAACCTAATAGGCCTACCCTAATGACTAAACCTCAAAAGCCTACCAAGAAGTCTCAAGGCTTCTAAGCCTAATCATACTGTGTCTAGTGGTCCTTCTGATCAATCAAACCCTATTGAAAACCCAAGCCAACCCCAACCCACTAACAAACAAAGAGCGAAGAACCGAAAATTCCAAGACAGCGATTCGCCGTGGTTAGAAGAGAAGAATGTAACTAAACCGATTGAATTCCGAGGTGTGCCCGGGGTAAATGTACACACTCGTGAACGTGTAAACGTGCACTCGGTGAAAATCCGACTGCATTACAAACTTTTATGCAATTTGTTGGTGACGAATTCTGGACCATGATATGTGTCGAAACCAACGATTATGCTCATCAACAACTAGACAATCCTGATAGGAAAAAACTAAAATCAGACGAGAGGTGGACTGACGTTTCAGTTGACGAATTAAAAGTTTATTTTGCACTGTATGTAAACATGGGTCAGATGAAAAAACCTAATATCAAACAATATTAGTCACGGAGGAAAATAATCGAAACACCGATATTTAGTAATACCATGTCATACGAAAGATTTTCTGCCATATCCAGATTTCTGCATTTTTACGATAGTACCACAGAAACTGAAGTAAGTAATGACAAACTGAAAAAAATCAGACCTATCATAAAGTATCTGGAAACTAAATTCTTGCATACGTTAGAGCCTGAGAGAGACCTCGTATTGGATGAGACCCTCCTAAAAATGAGAGCTAGACTAAGCATAATTCAATACAACCCTAAAAAACGAGCCAGATTTGGAGTAAAAATTTACAAAGTCTGTGAAAGCTCTTCAGGGTATTGCTCTACTTTCAAGATCTATGTAGGGGATGACAAGAGTGATGAGCTATTGGCAAGTGAAGCAGTTGTGTTAGACTTGATGCAACCATTTCTTGACACCGGATACATCGTCTACCTGGATAACTGGTATTCTTCTCCACTTCTTTACGTCAAACTAATTGAAAGGAATACACATTGTGTTGGTACTGCTTTACCACATAGAAAATGCATGCCACAGGCCTTCAAAGAAGTAGAACTAAACAAAGGGAAAGCAGTGAAACGGTCAGGGCGAGGAGTTCTTGCTATAAAGTGGAGTGACAGAAAAAATGTGTACATGCTGTCAACCATGCATGAAGACATTGACATGGAAGTGTCAAAGGTCGTCAACATAGGGGGCAAGGTTTTGTGTTCCACAATTCGGCGTGTGCCTGCGCTACTTAAACACACATCCACGAGATGAAAAATACTCAATTGTGGCATGTGATGTTTTAACGACGTAATAATGCTGGAAAACCCCAAAAATGATCGAATTAGCTGTGGCACCCTGAAAAAGGTGCCACAATTTTTCAAGGTGCCACAGTACGGCCGTGTGCCTGTGCAGGATGCCACTATTCGGTGAATACAGACACACAGACACGCACAAACACACACACACACAGATATCACTTCGAAAACCAATTTTTTGGGTTCAGGGGGACCCAAAATTGATATATTCACTCAAAACTCAAACTTGAAAATTTCAACGAAACCAATACTTTTGTCCATATACTATGTATAGGGCCAAAAAGACCCAAAACAGATATCCACTCAAAACAGTGAGCCGTGACTAATTTCCACCGACGAATGTCACGACTCATATTCAACGGTCCAAGTGTTTTTTGTATAGTAGGTTAGTTTTGTGTTTCGATTTGTTACTTCCCACGACCCTCAACAAGGCTGTGCCTTGTTCTTCTTACTCCCATCGCCAAGTGTCAGAGGCTCCGAGACGTCAAGAGAGTAAACTTCACTGAAGATTTTTATCCATATCAATCCTCTATTTTTGTATAATTTTATGTGTCATTAAGTTTTTATTTTTTGGCTGATAGTTGTGAACTTTTCTTCGATGGAGTAGTTTTACAGGCCGTCTGTGCCTGATGGGTGAGTTTTGCACATTTTTCTGAAACTTAGGTTAGAGCACATGTTGCGCTAGGTTTGGAACCTAGTTTAGGGTCGTGGGACATCTTTTGTAGTCTCAGTTTTCTTTTCTCTGTTGTTTTGTAGAATTCAGGGCTTTCCCCGAGATGCTAGGCCTAAAATTTGACTGAGAAATGTTTGTTGGAAGGCCGCTATTTGGGAGAAACTGCCAAGTCTGTTTTTGTCCTTCTGACTGTTTGTGGTAGGCATAGGCCTACAATTTCACTCTTTAAGTGTAAATGTCTTAGGCTACTACCTTTGGTAGCTTTTGTTTTTTGTGTCCCGTAAAATTTTTTGTGTTGTTTTGTCTTGTAAATTGTTCAGTTTGTGTTACTCAGTCAAGTACTGTTAAAGTCTTTCATTTTGCTTTGTTCTTGAAAAACTAGTTAAATTAGGTTGAATTAACTGCTCTTAAAGGTCCCCAGAAAATTTGAGTCATTTTAATCATGTTATAAGTAAGTTACAGTAGTTTTTAGTTTGGCAATTCTCCATTCAGGTTTGGACTGGGTAACCTGAAGGCCTACTGGCTTCAGCCATTGAGTTAAGGTTTGGAATGGTCTGGAAAAGTTGCTGGAACTTTTCCCCCAGCTTTTAAGACCATTCCGAACAAATTCTGACCACAACTTTTGGAGAAATTAACAAAAATACATGAGTCGTAGCGTTAGGCCTAAATTTTTTGTATGGAACGTTTTTTGTTGATTTTAAAGTATTTTTCTGTGTTTAAGTGTTATTGTTTTATTGTTAACTTGTTCTTCTGGCCACTTTGGACCAGGTAATTTACATTTTTTCTCTCTATTTGTGAAATTTATCACTGCAACATACCCATCTGGCCTGCTGGCATTTTTACCGCAATTATTTAATGTTACCGATCTTGTACTGTTTTACCTGTTAATTGTTTTGTTTAAATTATTGTTATTCTTTAAAATGTTTTATATTGTGAAAGAGCTGTTAAGGGGAGACAAACCTTAAAAATTTAAATTTTTTTTTTATGTTATGATAGGCCTACTCAGTGAAATATTGGAACTAAATGAAAATAGTGAAAAGGTGTGACAGTGAACCTTGCGGATATGGACTCAGACTATTACTCTTACTACTGTGTTTTCTAGGTTTTGTTACTCAGGGCCCGTGAGGAGTGCCTTGGACTTGCACATCAACCTAGGCGGAGAGGGTCTCCTCTATCTTGGCTAACCTTGCTTAATGGCCGCCTCTCCGTCCTGCTTCGTCCCTCCTCCGGTGCTGTCCACCCAGAACTGAATGTGACCGCCAACTTACCGCAAGTGTTAAACGATCGTTGTTACCTGTTTATATATATGTAGATTTATTTATTTAGTTATTTGAAAGATTCTTTATTACTTGTTATTGCGTTTTAAATTTTTTTTATCAAACCAGCCTAGGCCTATATTCCTGTTATTGTTTTTTTCAAATTTTATTTGAAAAGCCTTGTTAATTTTTAAATAATTTTCAATTCGTTCTATTTTTGGGGCCCCTAAATTTTCTATAGTTACCAGCTTCAAAATGCAGTATTAAGAAGAGATATTTATATTAGTTTTTTGTAAGTTGTTAATTTTGGTAAATTTTGAAGATTAAATTCTTAACTTTTTCTGTTATAGTTGATGATCAAAAGAAATGACTGTAAGTTAGTAGGCTAGATGGGTAACTAAATTATTTAAAGTTTATTGAGAGTTTCATGTACTATTGTTGATTATTGTTGTTGTGCATTTAAATTGTTTATTACAGCTCGTTTCTCTCAAATGGCGTGTTGTTCTTGAACCTCCATCCATGGTTCTCACCTTGTTTTTTTTTTTTTTTTTTTTTTTTGGGTGGGCCCGCTCCTCGGGCCTGCACATGGATTCAGGCTTCCAAGTCGTTGGCCTGGGTGCAGGCACGAGGGCGCGGTTCAACAGTCACTCGGAAATTCCGACGAAAACAATACTTTCTCCATATACTATGTACTATGGAGAAAGTAATAAATAATGAAAGTCGTAAACCAACATCTGGTAACCTTTTATGTCCTTCTAACCAACTACCACGATTGCGGTAAAATGATTGGTCAATAGCCGATAAACCAAAACCGACTTTTTATATTAATTCTCGGTTTTGTTTTTTTGCTAAAATCCGGTAAAACCAACAACTGACTTTAACAACATACCCATCCTTATAAATAATGCAGGCATGACTTCAGAATAGTGATTATGATTATATAATTCCAAATAAATAGCACTCCATTTTTTTAGTTTTTAGGGATTGTCCGTTTTAACCGACCTTTTGAGTTATCCAACCTAGCTCTGATCCGGTTAGGTTCGGTTAAGAGGGGGTCTAGTGCACTGACACATTTGGTGTGAAACTACAGGCTACACTTTTTTTACATTTAAGACCTGTATCGATTCATTTAACTTCAATTTTGCAGACACTACATAGATAACTGTCTTCATCTTCCGCCATCTTCCTATTTTTTTATTAAAATAGCCTACACTTACACAAGGTAGATAAAAGAAAAGAGATCCATTCACTAAAGGTAAAACATAAGCGAAAAGGGCATCACCACTTGTTTAATATTAGCAGCCCCGTAACCTTGCCAAACCTGGAATCTGATGCAGAACTGGTACCAGTACCAGCATTTATACGTTAGTTCTCAATACCAGTACTTTTACCAATATAGAAGTCAGGTATTGACACATTACTAGTGAATTTAAAAGTAAGAAATATGTAAGAAGAAGTTGGGTTTCTGGGATCTAAATTCAATTTATTAAATTTAATGACACTCACCTTTAATTTCCGACAAAGTTTTGTTTTTTCTGACATCATTAACAGCATTTATACACAAGTTGTTTTCTTGATGTTGCTGCCTTGCTTCAGTAGATTCTTGTATCAGAGTATTGAAGTCAATCTTGAACAAATAAAGAAAAGGAATTGTGTCAAACTGAAAAGTCATTTTAGTTGATGAGCACAGGGACACATTATCATCAGCATCCTGTTGTTCAATTTAGGAAACTTAAGCTTCGAAATTATATGACCTCGTTTGGGTTACTGACTCGATAGTGCATTGGCTGTAGCATTGCCAAACATCTAAAAAAAAACGTCATTTTGTTCTAGACTTATTTGAAAAATAATTATCGATATAAAAATAGAATACTGAAAATCTGCTTCTACACATTCAGATGAAATCAATTGAAATTCGTATTGCTATGTGCGATCGGAAGATAAATTCTGACTTTGTCCGTTGTTTTTGTTAAGTTACCATACTATCTGAATGTATACAAGCAGATTTTCAGTATTCTATTTTAATATTGATGATTATTTTTCAAATAAGTGATGTGTCAAAGTGATGTACAAAATGATGTTTTTTCTAGATTTTTTTAAATGTTAACAGACGATGCAAGACCGCAAGATCTTAACATACAATACTATAATTTAAATATCAATTCCTTAGTGTCTTGCAGATAGCATTTTAACTATTACATATTAAAAGTAAAAAACTTTAATATTTTACAAATTTTGGAAAAATATGAGTTTTTAATTTGTTTGTCAAACTTTAGAGCAAATGCGCAACCCAAAGATAACAACGGACTCTAAAAATATTTTTACCCTGTTTTGGTGTTACAATTTAGCAGCTTTTCCAAGGCCTGACACCTCAAACAACACACCTCGAAAAAAATTATTGGTTTTTTTCAGCCCACCCTAAAATATATATGAATTTGAACGGAGGGTGTTTTTGGCCTCTAGAGACCTCAAAACGAAAAAGTACTTTACTTTAAAAGGTACTTTACTTTAATAGTAAAGTACGGTACTTTACTACCGTACATTACTAGTAAATCGCTATTAAGGTAATAGCTTAGTCCCTACATGGGAAATTCGCTAAAAGGTTATACTTAATGAACTTTCATAATACTTACGGTGCATTGTTAGGTATATATTAATAAAATATTTACCTTCTCCACATTATGTAAGTATCTGTACCCAATTTTTAGTTTCTTATAAGCTTCTCCAAAAGCTTCATTCCATTCATGAATACAACACAAGGCAAATAGGCGAAGTTCCTTGGCTACTTTGAGGGGTGGAGGGGGATTTTGAGAGGTGGTTAACTTCACAATCTCCTCTAAGTTGGATATCACAAGTTCACGGAAACAATGGGATTTCCTGCAAAACATTCAAAAATATATAATTTTTAAAACCAGGTTCACCCTAGGGAATAAGTAGAAAGTTTTCCACCATTGGGAACTAGTAATGGAAAGGCCCTAGAACAATTGAAAGCAAGAATTAGTTGGGAGGACATTTAATAGAAGCATATGTGAGGGAACTGATCAGTTTAGTTCACAACAAGTAACTCTAACTCTAGGCCCTAATACTAAACTGTGCTGACAGGGAAAAAGTCATGCAGAAGAAGTCGTAACACGTCTCTTCCAACTTTTATTTTGCCAGATACTTTTATTTGATTCCTGTGCAACATTAGACACACGGACAGATTATTTAATGTTTTTTCTATATGACGCTTAATGAGAGTACGGTAAGCCAGAGGCGGCGATTAGGGGGGGCCAGGGGGGCCGCTGCCCTACCACTTTTCCCAGGTTATATTTACAAAATTATAAAATAATTGTTAAGTTAGGTGTGAAGTTGAATTCAGTTTTTACTAGTAACCCCTTACTCTCATACACATACCTAACAAAATTAAAAATAAATAACAATAATAGTATAGTATTACAAAATACTCATCATATTGTTTCCCCGACACCGACAATCGTGGGTTCGGATACCAACCGTTTTGCAATAAAAACACTTTAGAGTTCTCGACATACGGCAGTTACGAAACATATGTCCTTTCTTATCGCAGTTCCAACATGTGAGATATGATTTTTCTCTCATGTTATTCGGCCATCGTGGAACAGCACTGTTTTCTCGGGGTGAACCTTCGCACTCACATTCCGAGTGATGTCGTGGGTTCGTAGATGATGAGGTCTTAGTAAAATTAAAATTACCCATCCGGGGGTTCGGAGAGTTATCTCGTGCCCTAAGTGGCCTTGCCTCTGACCGGAAGCCTACGTGCTTCGGTTAATCGTCCCGTCACATCGTTTGACGACTGACCCTCGTCTATTGTCGAGACTCAGAAATTATCCCCTGATTTATCACGTCCTCATCTCAGGTGATAAGCAGTTTCAGGGACCAACGCTGCCGATGGAGTGGGAGGAGGGGCGGAAAAGAGATTTTTCCCTAAAATAGCTCTCAACGTGCTCTTCCTGTCTGAGCATTTCGTCGACCAAGAAAAAATCATGTCTCCTCATCGTCAACTTATATTCGGGTCTCATATTTCTATATAACATACTAGCAGTTACCCGGCGCGCGTTGCTGTGCTACAACTATTATTTTAAGTGGTAATTTGTTCTTTACAATCTATATCTTTATATATTTATTAGGTATATGAATATATAAGTTTTTACTTAGATAAAGGTTTTTATTTTTTATTTTTACATATTAAATACAGTAGGGGAGAATTTAAACATTGTTGAGTGTACAGTTGTGCTGTGTTTGGGGTTTAATATATTTGGACTTATAATTATTAATAATGCCCGAAAGTTTCATTACAATCTGTCGAGCGGTTTCGGAGCTCATAACGTTCAAATATATATATATATATATATGAAACAAACTTCCTCTTTTATAAATATAGATTACTAGCAGTTACCCGTTGCTGCGCTTAATAACTATTATTTTAAATGGTTATTTGTTCTTTACGATAAAGTGTATACCAAAAATAAAAATAGAATATTTTACTTAATTGCTAGTGGATAAACAATGTTTTAGCGAATTTCCCATATAGGGAATAAGCTATTACCGTAGTACTCATGATAAGACCTGGACCCGGGACCGATTTTTTTTTTTTCGTTTTGAGGTCCCTAGAGGCCAAAAATAGCATCCGTTCAAATTCATATATATATATTTATATATATATATATATTTATATATTTATATATATATATATATATTTATATATATATATATATTTATATATATATGTGTCCGTTAGCGCGATAACTCGAGCAAAAATGATCCGATTTTGATGAAATTTGGTACAAACGTGTAAACCTACGTTTATTCGATCGAGTTCGCGAATCAGCATGATCGGACCATGGGAACGGGGGTTTATGGGGGCTTTTATGGGGTAAAAATGGGTTTTTCCCATTTTTGACCCAAAAAACTTAAATTTTTGCAATTTCTTTCCAAACTATTTTGTAGAGCTTAAAAAAACAAATAATTTAGTATATTGAAGCGTTATAATGCGCCTAATGGTTACGGAGAAAATTCAAAAAAGTTGTAAATTTAAAATTCCTATGTTATTCTTATGGAGGATAAGTAAACTGTTAATTGTAGTTTGCTTTATTAACATATTTTGCCCAAATTTGGAAAATGTTTTTATTTCTTACTAACTATTAACATTTTACATAAAAAAAAAAATCACTTTAACCCTCCCTGTTGCAGCAAACCTAAGTATGTGTTAAACTGATTTGATTTAAATAGGGAATAAATGTGATATTTTTAAGGAGACATTTTAGTGTAAATCCAATTAGGCAAATGGAAATTCGCTTAGTCTGCAGGTTTGCTGCGGCGGGGGTATTTTGTTTTTTCATTATAAATATAAATATATAAGTGTATAAATATGTAAGTTTTTTGGCGTACCTATCACCACGTGAGCACGCAACATACAGCTGTCCGTGTGAAAGTCAAAGTCAAAGTCAAATCATCTTTATTCACAATACGCACACATAGTACATGAGAATAGTGTCAAATCAAAACTTAATACTACGACTATGACTAAAAGTTAAAAAAAATCCTCAAACGAGTACAATGGTTTCTGAAAAAGGTAATTTTTCAACATCTTCTTAAATTTATTGATGTTATTTTCTGTTTTTAACGCAATAGGAAGTCTATGTAAGTATTTTGCTCCAATATATGAAGGTTTTTTTTCATAAAATGCTAATCTGTGGTGAGTGGGTATGACGGTATTTTTTTTTCGCGTGTTATATCGGTGAGACTGCACAATGTTCTGTTTTAATGGATTATGAATTGCTATTAAGACCGTGTCGTAAATATATTGTCCATATACAGTTAATATTTTTACATTTTTGAAATACTCTTTTGCTGATTCTTCAGGATTCAAATTGAGAATTATTCTGACAGCTTCCTTTTGTTTCTTCAAAATTTCATTCAAGTTTTCTTTTTTTGTTGACCCATATAAAGCCAAGCCAAATGAAATATGGGAATGAATATGCGCATCTTTAAAACACTCATATCAGTGCATAAATATGACATTCTGCGTAAGGCAAATATTCCTGAGTTAATTTTAGGAAGGATTTTTTCCACATGACGATTCCAGTTCAAATTCTCATCTAATTCCAACCCCAAAAATCTAGTAGACTTTTCAATTTCTATTAGCTTAGAGTCAATTGCAATTGTGGGTTCAAACTTTCTCCTGCACTGAGCAGTCTTAAAGGAAACAAAATTACTTTTTGATGGATTTAATTTTAATTTATGATTGTTAAAGAAGTCTGTTAAATTAGCCAACTCAAGGCAAGATAGGATTTCAACATCTTCGGCGGTTTGCGCTGACACTTTCAGATTTGAATCATCAGCATACATCACCAAGTTGTCTTGTGGTATTTTTTTGAGTGTTTGTGCAATATTTTTTACATAGCAGATAAAGAGCAGTGGGCCTAAAACAGATCCCTGGGGGACACCATGTGTTATTAATTTTAAATTTGACTTTTCATTTGAAACTTTATTATACTCTGTATGACTTAATTCAACGTATTGAAATCTTCCTGACAGGTATGACTCAAACCACTTCAATGCAGTTTTATGCACACCAAGTAACTTTAGTTTATGCAAGAGTGTAGGGTGATGAACAGTGTCAAATGCTTTTGACAAATCCATGAAAATTCCTACACAAACTTCTCCTTTATCAACTGATTCAATAATAGATTCAATAAAATCCACAGCAGCAGTAGTAACTGATTTGTTGGAACGAAAACCATGTTGAACACTATCTATGAGATCGTAGTTTTCCAAATATTCCACAAGCTGATTATATACAACTTTTTAAAAAATTTTGGAGACTACCGGCAGTAAAGCTATGGGACGAAAATTTGAAGGATCTTCTGTATCATTTTTTTTATGAATAGGTATGACTTTGGAGATTTTTAGCTTATTAGGAAAAATTCCAGAAACAAAAGAAGAGTTTATCAGATGTGCTAATACTTTGCTAAGTTCGAATTTTGCTGCTTTTATAATTGTAATTGGAATCTCGTCATACCCACTTGATAATTTGTTTGAAAAAGAACTAATTACCTTTTCCACCTCTTCTTGACAAGTGTGTCTAAATCTAAAGCATGGGTTTACATCAAATATTGGGGTTCTATTTTTACATTACTCCCTATATGCAAATCATCATGACCATTAATACTAACTTCTTGAGCAACGTTAATAAAATAATCATTTTAAATATTACAGACCTCTTTTGGGTTAGTACATTTCCGACCTTCAATATCCAATGAGATGTTTTCTCTAATATTGGGCTTTTTATTACCTATTTCAGAGTTTATTATTTCCCATACAGTTTTTTGTATATTAATGGATTTTGATATTTTTCCATTATAATAAGAAATTTTTGATTTTTTCAACTAATTTTTATACCAATACATTTGTCCTTTTATTAATTTTGATAGATGAGGATCTTTTGTTCTCCTGACAAATTTATTAAGATTAATAAGCTCTTGTCTTTTTTCTCTAAGCTCATTTGTAATCCAGCAGTTTTTTCTTTTTTTGATTGTAATATTTTTTTTTTGGAAAAGCTTGATCAAAATGATATTTAAAGGACATAAAAAAACAGTTGTACTTCTCATCTGATGAGGCCAAAAATACATCCAACCATGTTTCTTTCTGTAATAGGTTTTTAAACAGTGTTATATTGTCCTTTGTAAAACTTCTACGTTTACATGTGGAACTAGGGTTATTATATTCTATATTTTTACATAATAACTCCAAAATTTGACCATCATGGTCTGAAAGCATTGTAATTATTCCTTGCACATACACACTATGTCTTAAACAGTTTTTGACAAAAAAATTATCTATTGCAGTTTGACTTC